TAAGATCCTTACTCTAACCCCATCTGAGAGTGGGCTAATATATAAATGGACATACAATCACTAAGTCTAATTCTGGTACACAAAGCCTAATTTCTTACCATGTCGGACTGCAAGTAGGTACTATTGGAAATCAGGGCTTCCATGCTGTACATAGACAATGATTCTAGACAAAGACTTGGCTTTTTCAATGTGTGTGCAAAGAGAGATTTCGTGTTGGTATGAACTGGAAGAACATTTGATTCTGTGAATGGATGACCTGTTGTTACACCCATGCTTCTCCCCTGCTAACTGTCCATTGCACATTATCATTTTGTGAATGTGGCCTACCCTGGCATTCCCATTTCACGGCTTCCTTGTTCCTTGGCAGTTTAAAAGAGCCAGCGTTTGGGGAGGAGGGTATGTGTGCCTCAATTCAAGGTAGTTGTGGCAAATATTTCTTGGAAGAAGAACTTTATTTTTCTACCCTGCCTCCATCTCCCCAAAGGAACTCGGGGCATCTTACATGAGGCTAATCCCAAGGCAAAATACAATTAAAAACAAAACAACAACAAATTCAAACAGCATAAAACAACATAACAATAATAAACAAGCATCAAAAGCAATTTTGAAGGAGGGGGAAAGAGGACCACTATGCAAACTGGTTAAAGGATAAGGTGGTTCAATAAGGTGGATAGAAACATAGAATAGCATAGGAAATAGGATGGAAACAGAGCAATTAAACAGGATCAGTTCAACTTAAATATATATATAGTAATGTAATGCAGGAATTCAGATTCAAGTCATTCAGGTCATGATATAGATCATTTGTCATAGGGGTCATCAGTCGAATGCACAATGAAACATCCACATCTGTAATTCCTTACAGAATGTGAGTAGGGAGGGTGCCAGCCTAATCTCCCTGGGGAGAGAGTTCCAGCGACGAGGGGCCACCACCAAGAATGCCCTTTCTGTCATCCCCACCAACCACGCTTGAGACAGGGGTGGGAATGAGAGAAGAGCATCCCCGGAAGATCTTAAAGACCGTGTGGGCTCGTAGGGGAGGATGCAATCACAAAGATAGGCAGGTCCTGAACCGTTTAGAGCTTTACAGGTAATAATGGCCATCACGGATCCAAGATACAGCGGGTGATGTATCTTGCATTGAGGCCCAGTTCCCAGTAGACTTCCACTTCTCCAGGCTCTCTTCCAGCTTGGGCAAGTCCAGGAAGAGGTGCTGAATTCAAGATACCACCTTGAATTGGTACCGGAAACCTATTGGTAGCCAGTGGAGCTGTTTGAACAGGGGGGTTGATTGCTCCCTATAACTTGCTCCAGTTAATAATCTGGTCGCCGACCTTTGCACCAGCTGTAGTTTCCGAACCATCTTCAAGGGCAGCCCTACGTAGAGTGCATTACAGTAGTCCAATCTTGAGGTAACTAAGGCGTGGACCACCATGGTCAAGTCAGACTTCTCGAGGTACGGTCGCAGCTAGCACACAAGTTTTAACTGTGCAAAGGCCCTCCCGGCCACTGCAGACACCTGAGTATCAAGTGTCAGCGCTGAATCCGGGAGGACCCCCAGACTGCAGACCTGTGTCTTAAAGGGGAGTGTAACCCCATCAAACACAGGTTGCCACCCTATACCCCGTTTGGCCGAGCGACTGACCTGGAGGACCTCTGTCTTGTCAGGATTCAATTTCAACGTGTTGGCCCTCATCCAGCCCATCACAGCAGTCAGGCACTGGTCCAGGACCCAAGGGGTTTCCTTGGATTTTGGTGGAAAGGAGTAATAGAGTTGCGTGTCATCTGCATAGAGATGACAACGAACTCCAAAACTCCGGATGACCTCGCCCAGTGGTTTCATGTAAATATTAAAAAGCATGGGAGAAAGAATAGAACCTTGGGGGACCTCACAGGTCAAAGGTCAGGGGTCCGAGCAGGTATCCCCCAGCTTCACCAACTGGGTACGGCCCTCCAGAAAGGAGTGGAGCCAGTGCAATGCAGTACCCCCAAGACCTTCAGTGATTCTCAACCTGGGGTCCCCAGATGTTTTTGGCCTACAACTCCCAGAAATCCCAGCCAGTTTACCAGCTGTTAGGATTTCTGGGAGTTGAAGGCCAAAAACATCTGGGAACCCCAGGTTGAAAACCACTGCCTCAGATGGAACACATGAGCCCCTGGTGGTGCAGTGGGTTAAACCCTTGTGCTGGTAAGACTGAAGACCGACAGGTCATGGGTTCGAATCCGGGGAGAGCGTGGATGAGCTCCCTCTGTCAGCTCCGGTTCCCCATGCAGGGACATGAGAGAAGCCTCCCACAAGGATAGCAAAACATCAAAACATCTGGGCATCCCCTGGGCAACATCATTGGAGACGGCCAATTCTCTCACACCAGAAGCGACTTGCAGTTTCTCAAGTTGCTCCTAACACAAAAAAAGAGTGCGATTTTGGTATACTATAAAAAGCAAGCTCCTTTTTAAACAAAAGATTAAAAGGGTGTTTTACCACCTAGGTGAGAACAGCAAACCATGCCCCATTCCCAGGAGCTCAAGATGTATCATGCCCATGGCTAGCCTAGTTAGTTTGGCACCTGAAGTACAAAAATCTATAAGCACCTCTCCCTGAGGATAAAGATGAAGTTTAAAAATAAGTACCGGCAAGCAGTCAGGCCTCCACATTTGCCCATTCGTTATTTCAGGGCAAGCTACCGTAAATAATATGGAAACCAAAGCCATGCAATTAATTTATAGCTGATTTCAATGCCATGGTAAACAATATGCTCTGATGTTCATCTTTTAATGTTTCTCCATTTGTAATACAAATGTTAACTCTTCCAAGGACAGGATTTTTCAGTGTGCAAAATGGTCTTGTTTGATTTCAAGTATATTCTCTACAATCCACATTTGCACTTTGGATATTCTTTGTGAAGTCCATACGGTGTTGACGGTTATAATGGTGCCTTTAAAAGGGCCGACCCAAGTCATTGGCTGGCCCGTGGTGAAGATGGTATTCTTTCCCATTATCTGCACACAAAACAATTCAATCTAAACCTGGCTAATGTTTGTAATGGGTTAGTCTCTTCCCCTCTATTTAGAGAAAACAGACTGCTTTGGGATGCATAGCAGACCACACACAACATATAAAGATTGCCTAATAATAATAATAATAATAATAATAATAATAATAATAATAATAATATAACAAACAAGTAAAGATGGTCCCAGTAGTGATCGGCACACCGGGTGCAGTGCCTAAAGACCTTGGCCTGCACTTAAACACAATCGGTGCTGACAAGATTACCATCTGCCAGCTGCAAAAGGCCACCCTACTGGGATCTGCATGCATTATTTGCTGATACATCACACAGTCTTAGACACTTGGGAAGTGTCCAACGTGTGATCCAATACAAAAGCTAGCAGAGTATTTTGTTTGCTGTTGACTCATCTTGCTGTGTTTCAAATAATAATAATAATAATCATCATCATCATCTATATAAATAAAAAAGTAATGTTCGTTTGTGGGATTAGCATAACTCAAAAACCACTGGACGAATTGACACCAAATTTGGACACAATACACCTACCAGGCCAATGAGTGACCATCACTCATAAAAACACTGAAAAACATAGCAGAAGGGACTTAAAAAGCCAACCCCTCAAAAAAAATTACAACACACGTGTAATTTATATACACACACAATATATGTATATATGTGTGTTTGTGTAATATATATACACAAACACACATATATACAAACATAAATGCATATACACACACAAAACACATACACCAGAAAGGGGGAAGGAAGGAGGAAGGAAGGAGAGAAGGAGGGAGATAAGGAAAGAAAGAAAGAAGGGTAGAGAAGGAAGGAAGGAGAGAAAGAGGGAAAGAAGGAGGGAAGGAGAGAAAGAAGGAAGGAAAGAAGGGTAGAGAAGGAAGGAAGGAGAGAAGGTGGGAGAGAAAAAGGGAAAGAAGGAGGGAAGGAGAGAAAGAAGGAAAGAAAAAGAGAAGGAAGGAGAGAAGGTGGGAGAGGAGGGAGAGAAAGAGGGAAAGAATGAATGAAGGAGAGAAAGAAGGAAAGAAAGGAAGGAGAGAAGGAGGGAAAGAAGGAGGGAAGGAGATAAGAAAAAGAAAGGTAGAGAAGAAAGGAAGGAGAGAAGGAAATAAAAAAGTGAAAGAGGGAAGGAAGGAGAGGAGGTAGGAGAGGAGGGAGAGAAAGAGGGAAAGAAGGAAGGAAAGAAAGGAAGATAGAGAAGAAAGGAAGGAGAGAAGGAAATAAAAAAGTGAAAGAGGGAAGGAAGGAGAGAAGGAACGAAAGAGAGAAAGAGGGAAGGAAGGAAAGAGACAAGGAAGGATGGAACCAAAGAGCAAAGGAAGCGAGAAAAGAAACAGATAGAAAAGGAAGAAAGAAGAAGAGAAAGAAAAAGAGGGAAGGAAGGAGTGAAAGAAAGGAGGAGGAAAAAGTGGGAGGGAAGGTTTGCCACAGCAACGCGTGGCGGGTACAGCTAATAGTAACAACAACAACAACAATAACTTGTTCCCCACATTTCCTCACATTTCTAAGATGCTCGAGGCAGCTATCCTGTTTTCAGTCACAGCAGCCTCACTTTGCCTAATGACACAAATATTGTAGAAGACCAATTGTGCCTTCGTAGTCATCATGCATGGAAAAGACTGCAACATGCAACATGAAAAGAAGGCAGCCATCACGGATAAGTGGATTTAGAGAGGAAATACCTCCAGGTGCTTCCGTAATGTATTAAAACATGAGGGTGACTACGTTAAAATATTACTCTTTTGGACTACAACTTCCAAAATCTCGTAACCAGCTTGTCCAATGGCTAGGTGGTTTTGGAGGTTGTGGTTGTCATCCCGGCCAAAGGAGCATTTCCCAGCTTTGGTGGAAAGAGGGTACACCTGGCTCTTTTATTCTCATTGTAGAATCATTGCAACCACCTCCATTTTGCCATTTTCCCTTACTCATGCGCTGCCACTAAACTGCCCCCTTGCTTCTGTGTTACAGGTCGGGAGGGGCTTAGCCCCAACTCATAGCCCTGATCTTTGCGCTGCTGGGTCTGTATTCTCATGCCGTAGGGTGGGGAGGAAGGTCAACGTGCCTTCCTCTCCTCTTCCTGGTCAGCAAATAACCAACATCCCACGCCACCAAGTCTTCCATTGCCTCTTGGATGGATGTGGGCAGGAGAGACGCCCTCCCTTTCGGAGGGGGCAATTTTGCACTGCCTTGCCCTGCCCCACCTTGCACTATGGGAAGAAACTCCCCTGGACAGCCTCCGGCCTCTGCCTTTCTCTCTTGCCGAGTGCTCCGTTTGTCGTCTCAAGACCACCTTTCCTAGGGGATGCAGGGCCGAAACAGGATACTGCTTCTACCCTTAATGTTTCTACATCTGTGCCTCACTTTGCTAAGCCCACCAAGGAATGTTCCATGTTGGATACACCAAAAAGCCGTGTTACAATCCAGGGGCACAGCGTTGTTCCTGTCCTCAGCTTCTGTGCCTGGAAGACACCCTGTCTGCTCCTTCCCTTGGAGTGAACTCATCATATATGGATATGAGTGTAGTCAACTGACCCATTCCCCCCTCCATTACAGCCTCCCCAATGCATCAGTGCCACTTATAGTTCTCATAGGCCTTATAGTTCTCATAGACTGATTGTAGGCATGTGTCATCTCCCATACCTTTTCTAGTGTTCTCAAGCCACAGCAGTGACACAGGGAAATGCACGTTTATGACTAGTACGAGCAAAGAATCTACCACATATTTGCCAACTAGACCCACTCCCTCGCTTTCTATATTTTGGTCTTTAAAGCCTTGAAAAAGGAATATATTTCCATGGTGCTGTTCAGAAGCTCAACTATAGGAGTCAACCATCCTCGATTTAGGGGCAAAACAATAACTGCACCAAGGCAGTGTTCTAGCAGGCCTGTTTTAAAGTTAAGCAGAATCAGTAAGTGGATCAATAGTATAAATCCTTACTCCTTCCATTACACTATGTAGCAAAATTTGAAACATTTTCTGTTCCTGGTTTGGAAGTGTTGTTTCCTGTTTAATTGTGTGGTACTTACTTTGAAAGTAGTTGGCTACTCCAGCAACTTTGTTTTTGTGCCTGCCACAAACTACCGTATATTCTGGCGTATAAGACTACTTTTTAACCCAAGAAAATCTTCTCAAAAGTCAGGGGTCGTCTTATATGCAGGAGTCGTCTTATACACGGGAGTCGTCTTATATGCTGGAGTAGTCTTATACGGGAGTTATCTTATAGAGTGGGTGCTGAAACTTCCAATCCGGATTGGAGAATCTGTGGTTGCTGCATATTGTGGGGGAAGCTCAAAAATGGCAGTGGCCGCGTCCCTGCCGTATGCAGCGACTGTATGAAAGCATTAAGGGCAATGCTGTACAAGTACGGTAGAAGAAAATTCATTCATCAGGATTTGTGGACTTAATGCGGTCCCAATGGTGACGTGAAGGAATGCCTCACCGGGAAGGTGTAAGTCAGTGGTTCTCAACCTGGGGTCCCCAGATGTTTTTGGCCTACAACTCCCAGAAATCCCAGCCAGTTTACTAGCTGTTAGGATTTCTGGGAGTTGAAGGCCAAAAACATCTGAGGACCCCAGGTTGAGAACCACTGGTGTAAGTGAAGGGCGGCGCAAGCTGCAGGCGTCCAGGGCACCCGGGGTATGGAAAAGAGAGATAGAGTGGGTCTGGGCCCAGAAAAACACACCTCTTTTACCTGTCTGGCCTGCCCTTGTATCCTATTACTGTGCCTCCTCCTCTGCCTCTCAGATCTCACTCCTGAAGACTGCAGTGAAGCGCTGCAGGTGTGCATGTGCGAAATCTGAGAGACAGAGAAGGAGGTACGGTCATAGGAAAATTACCATATTGAACTCAAATCTGATGTTTTTTTTAAAAATTATTTGGTGTGTGTTGGAAGAGGGGTAGTTTTATACGGCGAATATATCCCAAACTCTATATTTTAACTGGAAAAGCTGGGGGTCGTCTTATACGCCCAGTCATCTTATATGCCGGAATATACGGGTATATTGAATTGGTTGAGACTCTGTGAGATATTCATTGAAAAACTATAGCAAAATGTGCTGCAGGATGTCCCGCAAAAACAAAGCTTTTGCAGTTTAATAAACATTTTCCATATTTTTATGATAGTACCAATTAGGAAATTACATTTAAGACCCAGGAACAAAAATCGTGTTACATAGTGTTGTACTATCCCTTCCAAGGTATTGTGTATTTTCACATCCGGGCGTCCCCTGGACAACGTCCTTGCAGACGGCCAATTCTCTCACAACAGGAGCGACTCTTCCCAAATTATAATACTTGGGTTAACTACCATAGATCTGTTGCGCAGCAAGCGGATTTTGCCCAGCGCCCAAAGTCCAAATGCAATAGACTCACAGACAAGAGAAAAACATGAACAGAAAAATCTTTACTCTTTACTCAGCAGAGCTGAAACATAAAATTGCAGTGTTGCATACAAAATCAAACAATGCAACAAACTTGCATAGTCCGTGTAAGAAATATAGAATAAGGCATCTTCCTCTTAAATCAAACGAGAGATGAAAAGTAAACCTTGAGTAAATAAATAGCTATTCCACCATAACCTCCTTCAGAGTAGCTTCTCCATGCTGCTCCCCAGAGCAAAGCCTTTGAGCATTGATCTCCTCAGAACTCCTGAACTGTATTCAAAAACCCATACAGTTATACACCATCGAGTGTGGTCCAAGCTTGCTGGTTGACCTACATTACCAGCTGTACATGATAAAGAAAAACATTATAATGTTAAGTATCATGTGCAGCTGGTAATGTAGGCCAACCAGCAAGCTTGGACCACACTCGATGGTGTATAACTGTATGGATTTTTGAATACAGTTTTTGAATACAGTTGTGTCCTGCTGTGACTTACCGCAACAGTTATCTGTTCTGTGGGATTCTTGGATTTAGAGTTTGGTGAGGAAAACTGCAAATACAACTCCCAGGGTTTCATAGGATGCATTTATAGGCTAGAATCCTATTACAATACCTGAGTAGTGTGAAAGAAACCCCAGTAATTGCAGACCAAAAAATGTCCTCCCTGCGAATCTCATCTCCTAAGACGCTCCCTTATCCTTCCCATACTATCCCATTAGAGCTCCACAACTTCATAAAATAGAAGATACCTGACAGATTAAGGACCAAACCTACCCTGCCACACTTTGACACATTTACTAAAGCTATTCCCTCCCCATCCTGTTGAGGTTATAGATGTAGAAAAATAATAGGGCTTTGATCTATAGTTCCTTTGTTCACATTGAGGTCTGATGGTTGGCAAACTGACATTCAAACCAGGTAAGGCATTTTTTTCTCCTGGGACCAAAAGGATTTTGTTTTTGTTGGGAGGAGCAGACAAGTTTGCAGGTTGCACAAGAATGTGGGTTACTCAAAAGTCTGGCTGAGTGATTTTGGAGTATTGGGGCTTTGCTCAGGTATATCTGTTTTGTTGTGAAATTATTGTGGGTGTGGGTTCATCTTAGAATGCCTTCTAAAATGTGTGTGTATGAGAGAGTGTGTGAGAGAGAGACGATTGTGAATATCTGTGTGCTTGAGGTGCATTTGTGTGTGTATAGGTGTGCACATGCACACAAATGTCTGTAGCTGTGCAATGGACAACTTGAACCCTTTTTTAACATTCGCACAGTAGCAAGGATCAAGGCTCCTAAAAGCTTCCAGGCCGCGCCGTGAGGAAGAGGAACAGCGGACGGCGGCGTCGCAAGAAAGAGCACAACCGCAAAGGAAGGCATTGACTTTTGTGCTGTGTCTGTGCTCGCCTCGGAACCCTGCCATCTCCAGCACTCGCTCCAGCCTGGGGAGAACTAGAACTCTAATTTCCGTTGCACATGGGTTGTATATATGGGCCTCCTTCTGAGCAGGGTGCCCTTGTCTGCATATTGACTAACTCCAGTGCCGCTTCGGGGCACTCCTGTAGATACACATTGTACCTTCATTGCACACGCTGAATGTTGAAGGTTGGGCAAAAGGGGAGGGGGTTTCTACGCCATCGAAGGAACCATTTGGGGTTTTCCGCTCAGGCCAATGCCACCGGCTAGATGCCAAGCCTTCTCGTTTTGTGTTCCCTGCTACGCTGCGCACATACCTGCTGATGTTTGCCCAGTTCCTTTCTTTCTTTTTCTTAAAGGAGAGCTACTCCTGACTACTAAAATCCTGGCCATCAATAAAATAAGGGCCAACGTTTTAAGGTTTGAATTCCGACAGAATTCTGTTAATCCTAATGTATACTACAAGGAAAAACACTTAAGATGCATCCTACTGCCATTTCTCAAGACTGAAAAGTAAAATCCTTTCCCCCCTCTTTTCTTGGTTCAACTCTTCTTCTTGTTGATTTGTGTATGATGCCAACTTACAAAGTTTTATCTATAGAGAAACTATGTTATTGGAGAAATATCTGGACAGAGCTAGGTTTCGCTTAGCTTGTTGGTGAGAAGAGTCTTTTCGAAGGGTTCGCCTCTAAATGGTGTTAGATTTGTGCTCCAGCTTTCAGGAAAAATGGGACTTTGTGGTCAATCTTGACATTTATGTCTAGGAAAGCTTATTGATTGTTGTGCACTCCAGCCCTATGCATGTTTACACAGGAGCAACTCTCACTGTATTAAATGGGATGTGCATCTAGGTACTTGTACTTGCATAGGATTGTCACTCTCCTAAGTGTAGTGTTTCTAAAACCTGAGGAACTCGGAGTTATTCTTACGGTAATTCTTTCTTTGGTAAGGTTTCTCCTGTTTAGCTATTGGGACAATTACTGAAGGTATTTTGCACTATGATAAATGCTGATTGTGTTGTGTATTTGCACTTACTCTTCTTATGCTCAGTGCCATGGTCAGGCCCGTAGCCAGGATTTTGATTCGGGGGGTGCTGAGTTTGATTCGGGGGGGGGGGGGCGGCGGACTGAGTTTGATTCGGAGGAGAGGGTTGAGGATCTACCCTAGCAAACCTTTTGTATTGTTATCCCAATATCCCCATGCATATGGGATATATTGAGCATGGTGATCAGATCATGATATGAATAAACATAACAGTTTAAATAATGTACCAGTAAGGCCTTCGCGCGGACCACCCTGAGAATTTCGGGGGGAGGGTGAAGCCCCTCAAGCCCCCCCCCCCTTCAGCTACATGCCTGGCCATGGTCTTTGATTATATTATGTGAAGCGGGTTGAGCTCTCACAGACACAAACAAATAGGCTCAGGGCTAAATTAAACTCTTATATTCTGTATTGACCCATATAAAGCAAGGCACTTTCCTTTTTTTGCCCCATTGTCATAAGGTGGACCTCCATTTGTTTTTTAAAAGCCTTTCCAAGACTCTCCTTCCAGTTCTGCATCAAAACAGGTTTCCCATTCCAAGGATCTAGTACAGGGGTCCTCAAACTAAGGCCCGCGGGCCGGATACGGCCCTCCAAGGTCATTTACCCGGCCCTCACTCTGGGTCAACCTAAGTCTTAAACGACTTTAAAGCACAAAACAACAACAACAACAATCCTATCTTATCAGCAAAAGCAGATCAACACTCCCCATTGAAATACTAATAAGTTTATACTTGTTAAAATTGTTCTTCATTTTAATTATTATATTGTTTTAAGTGTTGTTTTTTACACTACAAATAAGATATGTGCAGTGTGCATGGGAATTCAAATTATAATCTTCAAATTATAATCTAGCCCTCCAACCTTTTGAGGGACTGTGACCTGGCCCTCTGTTTAAAAAGTTTGAGGATCCCCGATCTAGTAGATTTTCCTTGCATGGCGAATGGTGTTGTGCCAGACTCCTCAACTGGGGGATACTAGGGTTGTCCTTGCCCCATAAGTGGGCACCAGATTAGAAAGATCTGCCATG